CAACTTGAACTTGTTGTTGGGCTTGAGCAGCGGCGACAGAAGCCTTATCGTACTCAGCTTGTATTGCTTGCCGTCGCTTGGAATTCTCTTCGCCCCTTGCGAACTCGTCAATGATGCGAAATAGGTGTTCAAGCGTCTGCGGCTCCTTGTTGGCGATTTTTCTTGTGAGTTCGCCCTCGAGTAAACCAGCCGAAGCGGCGTTTATGACTGATGCCTCAGTTATGTCTTGAACTTGGCACCGGGCTTGCGAGAAGCGACACATGTACTCCCTTATCGACTCCCCCGGCCTCTGGCGAATGCCGAGTAGATGCTGCTACGTCTTCGGCTCCTCATAGGTGCCTCGAAAGTTAAGGACAAAGACATCGCGTAATTGCTCCCATGAGTAAATGCTATTGGCTGGCAAATTGAAATACCAAGAGCGGGCGATGCCGTCTAGGGCGAGATGTATTACCTTTGCCTTGGTATTTTCGTCGCCATGAGCCGCTTCGATCGCGGATTCATAAATGGAGAGGAATTCCTTTGGGTCAGTTTCGCCTGAGTAGCGTGGGACGGGTGGGAAGTTGAACTGGGGTGGGATTGGACGGGTCTTGATTCCCCCACTCAATGGTAGCCCCTTTTCGCCCCCTGCCCTGTTCATGGCACCTTGCTGCGGGTATGGCGTGGCGAAGGGCGAAATCACGGCTTGCGCGTGAGGTTGGGCCATGGCATTCGGCTGCCCGGCCCGATTGGTGATGCTTGCTGTACCGCCATGAATGGGTCGAAAGTTGGCTGTGACCATGTCATGACGACCTGGTTTGGTGCTTGGTTTGCTCCGAAACCTGGCGTTGGTGCTTGCGGCCGAACGGTTGGCGCCTAAGCAGCATTGATGGAGTCGAACTGTGGTCCTTGACTCCAAGGCGAAGTCCCCAGACCTAGCTGATTCGAAGGCAACCAACGAGGCGCACCTTGACTTGTATTCCCCTCCGGGCGGGCCGAAGGGGTTGTACTTGAAATGTTGTGGGGTTGGCTGAGCTGCTGAAGGAAAGCTTGGAGCTGCGCCTGCAGAGCTGAAGCCCCTTCTGCCATTGTTTGTGGCACTTGGCCAGGCGGTTAAGGATGTACTTGGGCAGCGACCGGTTGAGCTTGCAGTTGCACGTGAGGGGCCGGATGCACTGCTGCGGTCGATGGCTGCCCGGCGAAGTACATTGGCGCTTGCACAACTTATGGCAGAAGGGGCTGGGTCGGCACTTGTGGATAGACTTGGGGTGGGACATAACCTGCCGAATACTGGAGGATTGGTGCCGAAGCGACCTTGGACCGCCTCGTACGCTTGCTGCTGTTCTTGCATTTGGTGAAGCATGTCTTAGAGTCGTGTCATGTTCTGTCGCATGGCTTCCATGTCGGCTTCGGTTTGTGTCTCGGTGTCAGGGTTGACTTAGGCTTGCACAGCGGCGAGCGCAGTTAGGGCCACTGCCGGCTGTGACGGAGCGGCTTAGGGCACCAGCAGTTGGTTTGTCGAAAGGATCTCCGCCCTGGTCTGGAGTGCCCTCGCCGCCACAGCCGCCTTCGCCATGTCAGCCGCGTTCGGCACCTGCACAGAGGTAGCAGGGGCCAAAGGCGGTAGTGATAGCGCAGGTGCGGAAGCAGATGGCGCTCCTCCATCTTCGGCGACAGGCGCCGAAGGCTCTGCTCCCTCTTCGGCGGCCATATCCGCCCCGGCGTCGCTTTCCTTTCGCCTTGTAACCTTCTCCTTTACGACCTTCTTCGGTGGCATTCGCTCTCAGTGGTTTCGCTCGGAGGTCCACACGGTCGGCACCAGCTGTTGTCGAAACGACAACTGCATACGTCGAAAGATGTGGTTACTCAACAGTGGTTGAGAAAAAGTAAAGTGTATTGATTAGAGAATTTTTCTTGGGATCCCCCCATTACCTGGCCCTATGGGACTATTTATAGCCCCTATTACAGGTTATTACTATTAGGGTTTTGGTTATACAGGGGAATTTACATGGTTACCCTTATGAAAGGACATTTACATGAGTACATAGTGTAATAGAGGTTCATGGACTCCTGATGGGCCGTTAGGCGATCGTCGGCCCAATGGCCCCTAGGCTTGATGGGCCGGAAAAGGCTTCTTTGGCCCTCGCGGGGGGAGCTTGCTTTGGCGAAGTCGTCTCCCTTCGGCATATACTCTTCGCCCTGCGTCCTTCGCCCAAGAGGCCTCCGGCTTGGCAGAGTACCCACACGATCCTTCGCCTCTCGCTGTACTTGTTCCATAGTGTTCGCCATGGGGGAGGGGGCTTCGCCCCGACTAACTTTAGCGTCTCGGGCTTGGATTCCCACTCCTCACATAGCCTTTGGCAGATTTTGGTCGAAGGGCCTCATACCATACCGCCAACAGGGAGTAAGGAAACAATCAAGCCTCATAGTTTGCCCTACAAAACAAATGAACAAGAGCCAAAATTTAAATTTAAAACTTAATCTTGAAGTTAATTCTACGGTATGTTAACGCAATTTCTTCTTGATATATAAAAAGCTTTAAACATAAATTTTTTTTTCTAATAAGCCGTTTTTACTTAGAATCAGCTCGTAGCCAACCAATGATGCCAAAAAAAATCAATAAAGACATGCAACTACAAAATTTTAGAGCATGTTTTCTCAGGCTTATTTTACCTACTTCTATGTAAGAAAAATGGGGGCCTTTGTACTGTAACATGCAGTCATCAAAACAAACAGTGCAAATAGTGAAACAGGTTTGTGATAAACTGATAAGAGTAGTTAATTTTGATTAAGTGTGATTTTTTGGCAGGAAGGGGGCTGCCGACGTGTCACCGGAGCACGGTGGACCGGGTCTAATCAAGTTAATGAGAGATGATGGATGTGCAAGGGTGTGGCTCCAGGAGAACCGGAAACGTGGCAGCGTAAGGCCGCCGCTGTCACCGCAACTAATCCTCATAAATGCCAAAAGTTTGCTTTTGGGCCTTCTCATCACGGCTCTCTCTCTTCCCGTTCCGACCTCTCCCGTTTTGACATTTTGCAGTGCCACCTCCGTACGTCCACCTCCGTGGCCACGTGTCCCTGCCCCCACCCACCCGTCAAAATTCCCAAACTGGCCTTCGTGTCCAAGAACTTGGGAATCCATGATCCGTGCACGCCGCGGGCTTTTCTGCATTTGGAATTGGATTGAATTTTTAGTCTGGAATTTATCTGGAATTAGTATTCAATTGTTATTTTAAGTAGTGATGAATTGTCCCGCACAACTTCCACGCAGAGAGAAGTTAGAGTGTAATTAGATTTGTTATACGGCTCTTAATTTTTTATTCTACTATATAATAGTGAACATCAAATTGGAGTTGATGGATAACTATATTAGCATTTTTTTTCTATGGATAAGATTATATTTTCAATACATTTCAGAGTGTGATTGGATTTTTAGGTATAACTCTTAATTGGCCTGCACCATTACTAATTTAAATCTACCATGATCGGCTGATAAATTTAATTGATGTGAGATTTTCTTGTATCCGAAACAAATGTGGTGCATATATAGATTGATTTGGTGTAACACAAGTTTCAATGAGAATGTTACAGTAGGTGGAATTAGACCCTATTTAGATGAGACTAAAACTTTTAAATATCTATCACATCGGATGTTTGGATATTAATTATAAATATTAAACGTAGACTATTAATAAAAACCCATCCATAATCTTGGACTAATTCACGAGACGAATCTATTGAGCCTAATTAATCCATGATTAGCCTATGTGATGCTACAGTAAACATTCTTTAATTATAGATTAATTAGGCTTAAAAAAAGGGGCTGCTATATAACGGGATCCCGTTTTCGAACGGGATGATCCCGAGTAGGTATCAGGTCTGATACCTATCAGGTATCAGACAATTCTACACAACAGGATGATCCCGAGTAGGTATCAGGTGTGATACCTATCAGGTATCACACGATTCTACACACGTTTCAGGTGATACTTGTAAGTATCATGTGATACTTATCAGGTATCATGCGATTTCTACCACGTATCACGTGATACTCGCGATGTATCATGTGAAACCTATCAGGTATCAGATGATTTCAACTACGTATCGCGTGATACTCACGAGGTATCATGCGATACCTGTCATGTATCAGACGATTTCTACCACGTATCGTATCATGTGATACTTGTCAGGTATCAGACGATTTCTACCATGTATCATGTGATACTTGCGAGGTATCGAATGATACCTACCAGGTATCAGGTGATTCCTACTAGATATAGCTGGGCATTCCGTTAGGGGAGGAGCACCCCGACACGTGCGGTCGGCCCCTGCAGCCGTTCCTTGTAGACGAGGACAGCGACGGCGGCTGCAGGGGACGGGTGCAGCGGCGGCGGCGGGGGACGGGCACGATGGCGGCGGGGTACAGCGACGGCGGTGGTGGGGGATGGGCGCGGCGTCGATGGGGGACGGGCGTGGCGGCGGCAGGGGATAGCGACGGCGGCGGCGACGGAGGCGACGGGGGACGGGCGCAGCAGCGGCGGGGGACGGCGACGGCGACGAGTGAGCAGTCCTGGTGCGTGTATGGATAAGAATTGCGTTGTGGAGAAGGAGCTATCCTATTGGGGGACGGTATCCCGTCCCCTAGCATTCCCGTAAAAAAATTGTCTCACGAATTAGCTTTCATTTATATAATTAGTTTTGTAAGTAGTTTATATTTAATACTCTATATTAGTGTCTAAATATAGGGATGCATCCAAACACCAACTTATAGATATGCACAGGAGGAAATAAGTAGTCAGATTTGTTGTTCCGTAGAATGATTATCTATTCATTTGACAGGTGATTTGGGGTAGCTTGGGTGCTTAATTACGATCACGGGTCTAAACATGGTGAGCTAGTTGACCAAACCAAAGCGTGAAGTGTTAACAACATAAAGATCTTGTGTTCATACTCCAATTATCATGTGAGGGGTATAATGGTAAAACCACCGTGCCATTCCTCGCTTATATAAGCCACATGGTACACGAGTACTTGGCGAAATCTCGAGCAAATCACCACAAGAATGCCCTTCCCGCCTTGCCCGTAACATCCGCTGCTAATTACGAAATTACCCTCCCGCCTCCGGGATTCCCATGGACGCCAGCCTCCGCACACTGCCTCCGGCGATCTTCCCCGGCGAGGTCCGCTCCGCCGTCTCCTCCCTCCTCCTCTCTCCCGGCGGCAGCGCCCTCGACACCGTGTTCTCCCACCTCCCGCCGCCCGTCACCATCCCGCCGCTCGGCTCCAGCGTCTACTACCGCCAGAGCGAGCTCCTGCGCCACTTCGCCGCGTCGCAGGCGGCGCAGGCGCAGAGCGCCACCGCCGCCGCCAGCTCTTCGTCGGCCGCCGCGGCGGGTCTCGACGATGGCGCGCCGCGGAAGCTGTACCGCGGCGTGCGGCAGCGGCAGTGGGGGAAGTGGGTGGCCGAGATCAGGCTGCCGCAGAACCGGGTGCGCGTGTGGCTCGGCACCTACGACTCGCCGGAGACCGCCGCGCACGCCTACGACCGCGCCGCGTTCAAGCTCCGCGGCGAGTACGCGCGCCTCAACTTCCCCGGCGTCATGGACGGCCGCGACTGCCCCGACAACCTGCGCCAACTCCGCGACGCCGTCGACGCCAAGATCCAGGCCATCCGCGTCCGCATGGCGCGCAAGCGCGCGCGCGCGCGCCGCCAGCGCGAGGAGAGCAAGAAGAGCCAACGCGCCGAGGACGCGAAGGCGGCGACGCCGTCTCGCCCCGTGGCCTCCGAGCGCGCCGCGTCCGAGACGACGACGACGACAACCACGACGTCGTCGTCGTACGGGTCACCGGACGGCGTGCTCTCCATGAGCGCGGCGTCCGTCGACGGCGACTGCCCGCTCGAGCGGATGCCGTCGTTCGATCCCGAGTTGATCTGGGAGATGCTTAACTTCTAGCTGCGTAGATGGAGTACGAACCATGGACACGAACCAACCGACACCAAGGTCCATGGATGGCCATGATTGGTTGCAGAGTTTGAGCTCTTAGAAATTCTTCGCTGTTAGGTGATGATGGATTATTGGTTATTTGTGAAGGTTATAACCTAGAAATATTAGAAGGATATCAGCAATAAATCGTCCCGAGAAAATTGGGCTTTGTTAGAAATGACTAATTAGTAACAACATGTATACTCGAATACTCGATCTGTCGTGGGTTTTTGCATCGACAAAGTTGTAAAAACTAATCACTGAATTTCTAGCTCTACAAAAATGTTGCTCGTACTCTGTTTCTTGTTCTGATTTGTTTGCATAGCTAGAGAGCATCCATGAGAATTTTAGAGAGGATTATTTGCACAGATAATTTCTTTATGTTCTTTCCCTAGTGGTTGATATTTCATACACATCACACATATGTGCAGTTTTGCACATTTTTAGATGAATGAACAGATGTGGTGCAGAGCAGAGGATTGATTGCAAGAGGATAGAGAAACTATGAGACACGCAACAGAAGGGAAGGATTTCAGCATGCCACTATATTTTGTATTCCTATCTAACCAGTACAAATCTTGTAGAGCTTGTTCACTTGATTTTCTGAAAGAAACCTTTCAGTTGTGGTCCGTGGAGATTAGTACTGACTAAGGCATCTGCACCAATTTTTCTCTGTTCGCATGTGCATCAAACAGTGGTTAGTTGAGCTGGGCTCCACCTCCACTTCTGAATAAAAACCCACACAATCTGTCCAGTACATCCACAATTGGAATGTTTGGACAAGAACAGCAATGAAATACTAATCGAGTGTTCCATTTTTGTTCACCCATAAGACAAATTGCTCCTGTGTTGAGCCTTTCTCAAAGATCCTGTGTTGAGCTAGCTTCTGCCTGACATTTTAGAACTGATTGAAAATCACAAAATTTTGAGGTTTCAACGTGGGAAGAAAGCAGAGTCCGAGTGGAAGTTTGGATGGTTTTCGGGAATTCAAATTTGAAACAGTAAGATTGACCAAAATTTGTCGAAATTTGGTGAAAACTGTCATACTGCCAGGGATCGGGATCCAGCGCTTAATCGGAAAGGTGAACCCTGATCGGAAGTTCAGAACTACTATTTCATTTTAGGAAAAATAAATAGTTTTCTTAATATCAAAATTCCAGATGTATAATAGTACTCAGTAGTACTTTGCACTCTGATTGACTTCTGCTAGGAGTACCATCCATATATTCAGCCCATTTTGGCATTTTTCAATTTTCAGTGCAACGCCAATGCACTATTTCGGTATGGTTGTACAGTATTTAGTTGTGTCACTTCAGAGTTCAGACAATTGTTAAAACTGTACCCTTTACACTTATTGCAAAACGGATCTTTACCTGCAAAAGTCTCTCTTTTTTCTGAGATCGAATAATCGTCTGCAGGAAAATAGGGAGATTCCCGAGAAGGACAAGAAACCGATGGAAACGAAAACCCAACTCGAATCATAAAATCTGCCGAAATGAAACAAAAACAGCGAGATCTGCACTGCAAACCGATGAATCAATTCATATCAATCCATATCATATCGTTAATTTTCTCAACCATCTCGTTCGATGCAATTCTGAATTCTGAATTCTCAGTGTTACAGCTTTACAGCTTCCTGCTGCAGGTGACGGACCTGAAGATGGAACGGAGCACCGCCTTGCCCGTCCTCCTCGCCGCCGCCGCCGCCTTCTTCCTCCGCCTCTGCTCCTTCGCCGCCGTCCTCCTCGCCGGAGCGCGATCCGCCGCCGCGTCCAGCTCCGCGGACCGCTCGGCGAACGGCAGCGCCATGAGATTGCTGTCGAGGAGGCCGTACACCGACGCGAGCTCGAACGAGTCGTACAGTGGGCTCCCGCAATCCCATGCCCGGCGGCGCACCACCACCTCCTCCATTGCTTCGTTTCACCACAGGATTATTTTCACCTTATTATAAATATCAATTCGTAGCAAATAATCTTTGCCATCAAACTAGGTAAGAAAAAAAAACTAAAAATGTACGTTCTTGCTGTATTACTGATTTACTGTCAATTAACTGGCGTATTATTGATCAGATCACATAAGAGGCAGCTTAGCTTTACAACGTTAGCGATGGATCAATTTGGTCGTGTGATCTGGGTGAGATGGCGAGTGACAGTGGCACGCATCCATCTTAATTATGGCGAGTGCTAACTAACAGCTGCTGGAAATGGACTGGTCGACTGGACATGCTAATATGCCAATATGCCATTACTAGCAGCACTCTTAACATTCCGATTCCTGCGACCTGCGCGTCCCAATTCTGGTTTCCTGTTCAGGGCCACTCCCTCTGTTTGTGGTCACACTGACATCTACATCGCCAAGAGAGAAACAGGGACGCACATCCGCGTCGCTGATGAACATCGGTGTACGGTTGTTAATGCCTCAACTGTTACCGTTTGCAGTACCATCGGCCGTTCAGCGAGGCCGGATCGGCCCAAGTGAGTGAGGCATATGGGCCTGTGCTGCCCAAATAACTTGATTTTTTTGATGGGCTGAATGTTCTCTGCACTGATGGCGGTCAGACCAACGGTTGGGGTCGGTTTGACCGGCAGCATGCGACCCGTGAGACCGGCGGAGTTCAATTCCGAGTTAGGTTTTGTTGGGTCTCGGATTTTCTTGCTTGTACTGTGGTTATTCGAGTCCTAATAATTGACATCTACACATAGTGGGACATGGAGAAGATCCTATGCAAGGCAAGACTACCCCTTTATAACAACCATGGCTAGTTCAATTGAGATACACAATCTATAATAACGCAATTAATTACTTTCTCTGTTTCACAATGTAAGACTTTCTAGTATTGCCCACATTTACTTAGATGTTAATGAATCTAGACATGTGTATGTGTTTAGATTCATTAACATCTATATGTATGTGGGCAATGCTAGAAAGTCTTACATTGTGAAACGGAGAGAGTAATTGAATCGTTCTTTCAATATTGCATCTATCTTTTGCCTTGTTTTTTTAGCCTAGTTCGTCCATCTTCGTTAGCTACGAGAGTGTGATTTCTCTTTATAGCATTGTTAAAAAAAACCTTTTGTTCCATTCACGAGACGGATGTTTACCCTTATTTATCCCTAAATCTATCTTGATCAAAGGGTTTCTCAGGGTTAAGATGGTTAGTGACTTTATACACAGCAAAGTTTTAGGTGGATTCCCAATTGTACCGATCGAAAAAGACGTCAACAACTCCAAACCGAACAAGGTCTAAATGGGTGGGTGTTGCAGTTGCACCGCATATGGGCCTGCACAGAACGCGTACTCACACTCACACGCGGGTTGGGCGCGTGAGCCGAACAAGAAAGCCCATGGGCTTTTGGGACTCAGCTTCGGTGACTTAGCTAAGGCAAGTCATAGCGTGACATACCATGCATCTCGGCTGTCCAAAACGAATCCAATGGAGATGGCGTTTGGGCCCACACGCAGGCAAAAAAAATCTCCGTTTCAGCCTAACAGGAAGCCCACATGCGCACAGGACGCGCTTAGCCTCGCTCTCGTCTGCGTACACCGGCGTAGCCTGAAACGGACTCAACTTCGCCTCTCCCTAAGGCAGTGGCGAAGCCACCGTAGGGGCCAGGGACGGCCAACACCCCCCTAACCCCTATGTGACCTCCCCTCCCATCTCTTCTCCAAAGGATAATTAGCCCTTATAATCTAGCCATTAATTACATCATTAGTTGCAGATGAGACTAACTATATAGGATAACTGCCTAGCTATATATATAGGACTTACGAAATGACTTAGTTAACTGATTTATCATTTTAAAAATGATTGCAAGACTCCAATTAAAATCATGGAACAAACTGTTTAAATTGGCAAATTATGATCTATGGGTTCTCATTCTCTCTTCTAGCTAATTGTTATAACATATATGATGTCGAGTTAGCGATCATACATCAACGCTACAATATCACTGTTCACCGAACCTTAAGTGAGTTACCACGTCTCGTAGATGGCACCCGCCCATCTCTAAATCCTGGCTTTGCCACTGCCCTAAGGTCTGCGTATGCCGGCGCTTCACCTCGCCCTTGTCCGGCCGCCGCCGCGAGCCAGCTGGGAGGCGCGTCGCCGCGACCGGAGAGGCGCTAGGCCGCCCTGCCCTGCCGCCGCAACCGGGACCGCGTGGAGGCGGCCGGCTGCTAGGCCTGACGGCGCGGTGGTGCAGGCGGGCGGCCGCGCAACCCTAGCCCGGCATTCTGTCATTCTCATTTCATGCACAAAATTGCTCTTTTTGGATTTTGCCAACCAAAACACAATCCATCCCTGTCGTATCAAGAAACGAAGGAGACATACGGGCTTTTTTGCAACGCATGAATTTGTACTAGGAATTTTGCAGGAATCTCGCATAAAAATAGCTCCAAAGATGTCCTACCCACTATTGATCAGGGCAACCATGCGCAGGAACTACTGACCATGAAATTTCACGATAGCACTATAGCAACGACGGCACTCCATTCAGCATCATTAGAGAGAGATTCAGAGCAACATTGCTGCATAGGACAACTGATCATAACAAGACATGAAACCTCCCACCTAGCATGAACTAAAAATTTACAGCAGAGATAGCGAAAAGGAGGAAATGGCAGCACAACTCATGTCCAGTATAAACCAGACAATACCATAAGTCCATTCCAAACTTTAAACCTGAACAAATCATAGACCTGGGCAACATCTCAAACATCTCAAATTTTTTTAGAAAATATCATCAGAAGTTACTGATTCATTCATTCATTCAAATTACAGCATATATGAGTCATATAACCAAATCAATCTCAATCAAGATTACATAATCAATTTGCTTCCAATCTCACAAAGCCAAACAATAACAATTCACTTTCAATTAGGACTCAGCATCATCCCAGACGGCAGGGCATTTACACAAACACCTCACGGGCACAGGAAAAGGTGTGGCGTTCTCCAAAAAATCTACCACCAGTGACTCCTACACTGGACGAAGCTGGGCGACGGTGTCACCTCTCGCCGGCGATGAAGTGGGCGGCTGACCAGTGCGGGCTCTGGATGCGGGCTCGGACGCTGAAATCCATTGTGGAGTCGAGGCCGCCGAAATCGGGACGTGCGGCGCGGCAGGAGCAGCGCGGCCTCCTCCACGGGCTGAGCTCGGGCTGTGCGGCCGCCCGCCTGCACCACCGCGCCGTCAGGCCCGGCGGCCGGCCGCCTCCACGTGCCCCCGGTCACGGCGAAAGGGCAGGGCGGCCTGGCACATCTCCGGTCGCGGCGGCGCACCTCCCAGCTGGCTCGCGGCGGCGGCCGGACGAGGGCGAGGTGAAGCGCCGGCGTACGCTGACCTGAGGGCGAGGCGAAGTTGAGTCCGTCTCAGGCTGCGCCGGTGTACGCGGACGAGGGCGAGGCTAAGCGCGTCCTGTGCGTGTGCGGGCTTCATGTTAGGCTGAAACGGAGATTTTTTTTTTTTGCCTGCGTGCAGGCCTAAGCGCCATCTCCGTTGGATTCGTTTTTGACGGCCGAGATTCATATATGTCATGCTGTGACTTGCCTTAGCTAAGTTACCGAAGCTGAGTCCGGGCTTTTGAGCGCACGGGAAGAGAGAGAGAAGATCCGCGTGGGCGGTGGGTGCTACCCTCTGCCACGTCAACTATCCGCGGAACTGACGCTATCCGCCGTTGGATCCGAGCAGCCCGGACCGTCGGATATCAGTGAGATACACACCTCGGATTTGCGGCTCCTTTGTCCTGGCTGCACCCCCCTCCCCCTATCTGCGTTGGCGTTACGGTACTTTCGGATCCCTTCTTCTCCGGGCGGCGATTTCTTTCTTCCCATCGGCCTTGTTGGTTTGAAATACAGAGTCCAGGTGCGAGCCAAGTCCCCTCTCTTCGCGACTGATTGCGTTTCCTTAAATATGCAAGGCAGGTAGAGGGCCGGGTGAGAAATTTTGAGATTTCGACCCACAGAGGGCGGAAAACCCTTGGATTTTAGATTCACTCAAGGCTTCGTCGCGTCATGGGTATTTTCAAGTTGAATCTGCTCCTAAAGCTGCAGCGGCAGCGGCAGCGCCGTCGTCGCCAAATCCAAGCCCGTAGTAAGCCAAATCAACTCTATGCTATCGTATTATTTGGTATTTGTACAGCGCTCACTACAAGATCCCCTTCTTTTGCATTAAAAAGTAACTTCTTTTTCCGTCAGAGATGTTCTGTGGATCGTTTCCCTCTGGGGAAAATCTTGTATGTGTGCGCGTTGGGGGATGGACGGCGGCTTACTGATTTTTGTTTTATCTAAGCAGTAGTTTACTTAGTTTTCACTCTTCGTGTAAATTTCACAAAACTACCAAATTATCTCAAACCTACAGATTTGAAGTGTTATCACAAAACTAGGGGTTTAACACTAAATTTATCACAAAACTACATATATATGGCAAAGTATCGTAAAACTACAGATTTAATATTGATGTTATCACAAACTATAGGTTTTAGAGTTTAATCCTCAGCACTACTGTTATTTTTGGGCTATAAACGTTGCTGTTTTGTGATTAAATTGGAACTAAACCTGTAGTTTTGTGATTCTTCTTTTTTTTTTTACTAAATAGTTCTGATATATACTTAGCCTCAAATCTGTAGTTTCGTGGTACAACACCTTCAATCTGTAAATTTGTGATAGTTTGATCAAAATATCTGCAGTTTTGAGCGTATAGTATTTGTAACCATTTTTTCTGTTTGTAGAAATTTTGTGTTTTGTTCTGCTTGGTTGAACAAATTTTCATAAAATTCGGGGGCAATCCTTTGCAAAAAATATCTATGGTCTTGCAAAATTGCTCTGTTGTGTTGTGTTCTGCTTGTTTCTTGTGCACAACAAACAGTGGTTTGATGAGAGAACCAAATTTGATTGTCTGCCTATTATTGTGTTTGAGCTTTGTATTATTTGGTTATGCGGTGCATTATATTCACAACCATTCATGGTGTTGCAGATGGATCAGTTTTGATTCATCCACGGGATAAAATAAACGCTCCAGCCTGTCAAAATAACACACACTCTTGGAGTGGCCAAGCGAAGTGTTCAGACCCAACGCTTCCGGAGGTACGCTTTAGTGAAAGTGTGAAACCATAAAGTCTCCATGTTTGTTTTTAAATCAGTTGATTTTTGTACTGCTGTCTTCCTGCTTGTGCTTCATCTACTTTGACTGTTCTGGTGTTATTTCATTATGCTGTTGTTTATATCTGCTAGAACCCTCAAGGTGCAAACTGTGGCTAACCCCTTCCACTGCATACTTTGTGTGTAGTGTGCAAAAACTACCACACCCTCGTGCAATGTATGCCGGGCGCCTCAATACCGTGTAGATCAAATGAGAAGTCTAGTAGTATCTTGTGCAGCTCTTGCTACCATCCTCAGTCTGCATGTTTTTATGCTGCCTCATATGAACTCCTTACAGTTGAGGAGACATGCTGTTAAGCATACAACCCACATGTGCTCTTCTGCCCATTGCACCTTAAAAACTTGCCAAATCTGGAGATATTTTGACATTTGCTGGCATTTGTAGGCAGACCATTTACCAAAGCACCCATATCGGCTAGCTCCTACAGATATGACACTGTAAATAATCTCCAATGCATAGAAAGCATGCATTTTTTAAAACCCAAGTGGATGCTTTACCCTCAGTCACCTCTACATGCAAGCACTTGCCATGGCATTGTTAAGACTTCTATTTAGCATTTTATTCGCAACAAAACATTATTTGGTGCCATAGCTGCCAAGACAATTGGACTATATATAGTCAAAAGTTTTCTGACTGTATGTTTCCAAATGTAATTTGTATATACTAGTTTTTTTGGTTCTGCATTTGACTTATATTTGGAATTTATTCACAGCAAAACATTGTTTGGTGCATTCTGGTTGACACAAATATGCAATACCAACATTGTTTATTACTCTGTGCCTAAGTCATACAAGCTTAGATATCACAGTGTTAGCTTTCTATGGCATTGTTTTATTTATTTATTTTTGAAGGCATAAAAAACATTATGTATATTGCTTTTATTGCTCAAAATACCTGCAACGATTACATTCTGATGCGATGTACAGTGTTAAACTTTCTCCAACTCCTGTGCATGCAGGACATCTCGTGTCATATACATTCCCTGATGTCTATGCGGGATGCTGCTCGTGTTGCCTGTGTGTCTCGGGCGTTTGCACGTTCCTGGAGATGCCTTCCCAACCTCGACTTCAGTGAGGAATCATTAGGAATAAATAGAAGTACATGCAAAAAAGATGAGAAACTGGGAGATTTGACCAGCAAAATTGATTGGATTCTGAAAAATCACTCAGGCATTGGCATAAAGAAACTCATCATTCAGGTTGGCAGTGTATACAGTCGGGACAGTAGTCATCTTGCTCATCTCGATAGTTGGCTTCAGTGTGCTGTTAAACCAGGGATTGAAGAGCTGATTGTTAATCTGTCATCAATGAATGCAAAATACAATTTCCCATGTGAACTTTTATCTAGTGGAACTGGAGATTCACTTCGCTATATTTATCTTGCCTCTTGCAACTTCCATCCCACAGTAAGAATTGGTTGCTTGAAAAGCTTGACAAGACTACAGCTGTGTATGGTGAATATCACGGAAAACGAGCTAAGGTGCCTTCTTTCCATTTCATTGGGTTTGGAGCGGTTGGAACTCAGGCACTGCAGTACGTTAAAATGCTTGAAAGTACCATGCCTGCAGCGTCTCAGCTACCTAGATGTTATGACTTGCACCGGGCTGCAAGTTATAGAGAGCAAAGCTCCAAATCTCTCCAGTATTCGCTTTGAAGGTGACCTCTATGTACAATTGTCACTTGGTGAACCACTGCAAATTAAGCAATTGTACAGGTTATGTAATGATGCTGCCTTTTATGCTCGTACTGAGCTGCCATCCAGCATGCCAAATCTTGAAAGGCTTATTATACATTCTGACACTGAGGTATATATACTTTTAAGATTTTATTTAAAATGAGCTTATATAATCAATAGTCTTACAATGAAACCTGTTTGAACCTGCAGATGGTCAATACACCAATGGTGCCTAGCAAATTCTATCACCTCAAGTACTTGAGTATTGCCCTTGGTGGACAGACCTATGATTACCTTTCTCTGGTTTCCTTTTTTGATGCTTCTCCTTTCTTGGAGACTTTTATCTTGAATGTAAGTTCCATCCTGTAAATATATTTATGTAAATATGGTGGAATCACTACTCATAGTTTGGTTTTTTCACCTTTACAGGCACTCCGAGAACGCACGGAACGTGCCACAATTTTTGGGGATCCTTCAGGTCTGAGGATGATGCCAGAGCACCGTCATGACAAACTCAAGTGTGTGAAGATAATCAATTTCTCTTCTGTGAAGACTTTGGTTGAGTTAACATGTCACATTGTTGAATCAGCGACAGCACTCGAATGTCTTACGTTGGACACAACGTCAGGTTCGCCTAGATGTTCTGTGAACAGACTTGGTAAATGCTTCTTGATGCGCAGAGAGACACTCATGGAAGCCCACAGAGCACTCAAGGCTGTTCAAACATACATCGAGCTCAAAGTTCCCTCCAAAGTTGAGTTAAACGTCTTGGAGCCTTGCAGCCGGTGCCATGCTCTTGACCTTTAGATGTCAAATATGTGCGTGTGGTTGTTCTTAATAACCAGTATTGCAACTGTCAGTTACAAGTGTTGTTTTATTAAACGTACATTTGCCCCGAAACTATCAGGCTATCAGCCCTGTTTACTGTTGAGGTTTGTAATGACATGGATGTGGTAATGTTTCATTCTGTTATTTCTCTTGAGACTTATGATTCTTTATTTGCTGTGTTTGTAGGATTGATTGTTGATAATATGTTAATAATGAGGAATTACTGAAACAATGAAAGGCCCACAAAGTAGAAAGAATTAATATATTTTTGAATAATGCATGGAGACAAACACGGTCAAATAAATACCAAGCGGTATAAACTGTATTCATTGAGGTGCATAGATTATTTAGACCAAATGTGATATAGGTCTGGTTTAGTTCCCAACTTCCTTTTCAAACTTCTAACTTTTCCATCAAATCAAAACTTTCCTACATACATAAACTTCCAACTTTTCTATCACATCGTTCCAATTTCAATCAAACTTTCAATTTTGGTGTGAACTAAACACACCCATTGATGTACTCATGTGCTACAATTTCCAAAAGTCAGAATGTGACGACCTGAGAGCAGCAACAACAATGACAACATGGGAAGTGATCAGGATGACCATTTTCTCCAAATCATTCTTGCTAACCTGACATGTGTGACTGTGTGAGTGGGGGTGGGAGGTGATTTAACAGGTCCAGCAGGCTGGTAATTGTAGCAAAATGCAGCGCTGCATTGAACAGCCAAAAAGGAATAGTAGTAGTAGTAGTAATAAGTTTTTTTTTTAAAAAAAAAAGCTCCACTCATTTATTCCAAAATAATATTATTTTTAAGTAATTATTACATCAAAATTTGTAAAAATATAAAATAATTATATTGAGAGAAGACAAATGAAGAATAGTTGTATTGAAATTTGACAAAAGTAAAAGTATTTAGTACTTTTAGATTTTATATTGATATGTGTGGAATGTACAGAAAATAAACTTATTTTGTGATGAATATAGAGAGTATGAATATATATGGTACTGTACATCAAACTCAAGCACCCTTGTAATTGCTCTAAACTTTATGGGCGTGTGCACGGAAAATGGAGTAGAAGTGGGAAAAGGGAAAGAAAATGATGGATGGAGACAGTACTATTTTTTCATTCCTTCAGAAAAAGAAAGACTCACTGGTAAGCAATTGACATAGCCAATGCTGCAGACACACGAAACATCTATTTAGCAAAATATATGGTACAATATCGGCAATGAAAACAGATCGTGTGTAGATAATGAACAAATGATCCCTCGCAAGGACATATTGTATTGCTTTAGCCTACAACAGAAACGAAATGCAGACAGCCTCCCAATCAGAAACAATCTCAAACACGAATACAGGCTGAACACCCAAATTCCAACGAGTTTTCCTTCAGATACCAAACAGAACACACGTCTGAACTAATTCAATCACTAACCTGAAATGAACTAATTCAATCAATCGGCAACGCCAAAAGGATAGTATCCAGAAACAAAACTACCTCCAATTTCCTATTAACTAAACACAGGGGAAACAGGTGGAACTCATCAGAAAGTGCCAAAATGCAGTAGTGAACTGCTAACCGCAGAGATCGAAGCACCTACAGTACATACATTTTGCACCGAATTCTGTTTTTCAACAAGCAGCACACAACAAGAATCATAACAGGAATCTAGCCCAATCATTTCAGCATTGGAGATCATCAAAATCTCAGAGGTCAGGAAACATCAGAGCTCAGAAAGTGCCAAAATGAGTTTGCAATTGATTTCAGCTAATATATCCACCATATGACATTGTATTGTAACTGCACAATACTAATCAGAAACAATCGTATCCCAATTCACAAAGCAGCAAGAACTATCTCATCCTCAAATCTCAAAGCAGCAAGAGGAAACACTAACAGAATCTCAAATCTCACTTTCGTAACCCATCAACCCATGGCGTTCAAAACCTCCATCAGGTACGTACAGCTTTGGAGAGGAACACCACGATTTGAAGCAAACTACAGGCTATGGACAGCATCAATATGACCACCAAAACTCGCAGCGCTGAGAACCAAGTCGTGTGGGTGGGGGGGGGGGGCGCATGTACCGGTGAGTGGATCTATGGGATTGGTAGGTAGTAGGACTCGCGGAAGATCTTGAGATCATAGACGATGGCGTGGAGGCGATCACGGCGACCGGTTGGGGTGGAGCGCGCGGTGAGGAAGAGGCGTACGGCCTTGAGGATGCGGTTGGCGATGGGGTGCATCCTGACGCGGAAGATGCCTCCGGCGTCCGCGTCGACCAACTTGCCGTTGTTCCGGATAGACCAGGCCGCATTCTTCAGGAGAAGCATCAGGACCCTGTTCTCGTCGTCCTCCAGGAGGCTGGGAACCAACTCGTCGATGACGCGGTCCACCTCCGCGGCGATGCCGGCGACGAGGGCCAGCTTGTTCAGTTGGGGGCACGCCCAACCGCGGAACTGCACGGCGTCGTCCAGCGTACGGTACATGGTGATGGCCTCCTCGAGGGACTCGACCCCATGCAGACGAACGCGGTACGCCACGCCGGAGCCGATGATGGACTTGAGCTCCTCGAGGGTGTAGATGTCCTGCGCCACAAGCGCCATGACTTCTCCTCCTCCTCCTCCTCCGCCGCCGCCGCGCTCTCTCTCTCTCTCTCTCTCTCTCTACGTGGTGGCCGCGGACTGGTTGGCGATGGGGAATGGGAGAGCAGGTGTGGGGATCCCCACCCTCCTTTTTGTACTAGGCAGGATCAGCGCCACGTCATCGATCCGCGCGTTCCTTCCGTGCCAAGCACAGTTTCTGCCGTTGGATCTATCGACGATCCACCGTTGGATCTCAAAAAGAAGCCCACCGCGTCCAGCCTGGACTAGTCTTTTCTCTCTTTTTTTCTTTTCTTTTTCTTTTTCTTTTTTCTTTTGAGGAGGCTGGACTAATCTACTCAGCAGACGCGAGAGGAGGCCTAACGGGCCCCGGGAGGTTGGGCCGAAAAGAGAGGGAGGCGGCCTGGTTGAGCAGCGGAGTTTGATAATTGGAATAAGTTCACCGGGGGTCCCTTAACTTAACAGCGAGATTTGTTGGCGTCCCTTAACCACAACACCAGAAATCTTCACCCTCTAAACATGAAAAACCGTCCAATTTATATCCTATGATAGTATAGATGCCTGATTTCACTAATGTGGCATCTTAGTCACCAAAATAAAAATAAAAAAAGATATATGGGGCCCATGTATCAGCCCCATCAACATCTCTATCTTCTTCCCATGCAGCGGCAGGAGGGGGGGTTGACAACACGCCGGTGGTAGAGGAGGACAGGCGAGAGAGCCATCTGGACGCACCGGCGAGAAAGGGGGAGAGGAGGTGGCACAGGCTATGTGGTGGTAGCGGCTGTTGCATCCATGGTGGTGAGGAGGTGGAGTGGGGTCGTGACCCGCTGCAACGACGAGTTTGGGGCGGCAATGACAAGACGTTGACTAGGGACGGCGAGGAGGAGACAGTGACTCGGCACCGGCTGTTGGGGGGGACGCGGCGCTGATGCCCACTGCGGAGCCTACCCTAGGCAGCTCCCTCCCGCTATCCTCCATCGACAACAACGACAAGATCGTCGCCGTCTGCATCTTCGTTGACTTCATCCAGGTATTCCCCTCCGTCTCCGCCGAAGCCGTCGAGGACCAGGCCGCATCGGTCGTCCACCACTACCCTGTCGTCAGCCGCATCATGAAGCCGATCATCAGGGAGCCTGAGATCGACAGCACCAGCGAAGGGGTGTGGTTCATCGAGGCCGAGGCAAACTACACTTCCTACGTGGACTCCGTGCTCACCGCCGATGGCACTGTCGAGATTTAGGGCGAGCGCCTCCCCTTCTCTTCTCCAACCCCCTCTCCACTTCCCCCTCCCCTTGTCCCGCCTCGACCTCACTAGCCGCCGCATCCTCAACTTCTGGCTAGTCAAGCCGCCGCCGCCGCCGCCGCTCTGCCGGTCTACTCCACCCGCCGCGCTCCACTCCTCCTCCAGCCACTTCCGCTGTCGTGGCAGTGGGACGCTCCCAGATCTGGTCGAGGTGGCGGTGCTACTTGTCCTCGAGCAACGTCCCCGGGACCAGGGGCGGCCTGGCCACCTCGGGCAAGTGCCCCGGCTCCACCAGCTGCACTAGCACGTACCTGCTTAATTAACAAGTCAATTAGCAAAGTAATTAAGGCTAATGCAAGAATATACTAGTCTCCCATGCATGCTACGTTAATCGATATAACCTTTTACGTTGAGTTTATTCTACTAAATTATAGATTAAATCATATATATAGTACTCTCTCCGTCCATAAAAGTTACACATATTACTTTTGTCACCAAGACCAAGGAGAAACTAAATCATTTTATATATTGTAAAATCAAGGAGTGAATGTAAGCATGCAGAAAATGAGTATTTAGATGACTCCTTGGGTTATCATCAAACATTTAATTTATCTCTTCATTTAAGTCTTAAATGCATAAAGACTATAAATAGGAACAACTTATTTGGAAAAACTCAAATGTAAAATATATCTAACTTCTATGGATGGAGGGAGTACATATGTACATGTATGAATTTTATATGTATGCCTATATCTCATTAGACTTGCTCAGGCTGAAAAAAATTTCTAGATCCGCCATTGCCCGGAACTGCCTCTTCGCCGTCGGGAGCGGGGGCGCAGGGGGCAGGGGAAGCGACAACGCAGGGGGCAAAGGAAACAATAGCGGGTGAGCGCGTGTCCGTGAGTGCAGCGGCGGCGGCGGCGGAGCTCGGCCAGGCTCGCCGGCTCGCCTCGCCCCCATCTGCCACCAGCGGCAGCCTCCCTGGGAGAGGAGCTGAAGAGAAGAAAAAAAGAGAGAAGAGAGAAGAAGAGAAGTGGCCCCCACATTTTCTATCTCATTTCACTTACATATGGGACCCACATATTTTTTTATTTTTTTTTTGCTGACTCGGATGCCACGTCAGCGAAACTAGGCATATATACTGTCATGGGACCTAAATTGGACGGTTTTGTATAGTTTAGGGGTGAAGATTTCTGATTTTGCGGTTAAAGGACATCCAAAAATCTCGCTGTTAAGTTGAGGGTCCTCCGGTGAACTTATTCCTTGATAGTTTTCTGAGAAGGGAAATTGAATACAATTTGAAAATTTGGAGATTTCAATTCAGATTTATCGATTGAATGAAGAAAACTAAGGGGAGGTAAAGGAATGGAAATCAAGGGGAAATTTCGTGGTCACCACAAACTAGACAAGTAGACAAGCTCGCGTCATTAGATGGGCGGGCCCACTTACCCACACGGTTTCGCTTATACTTTCGTCATCGTTTCATGTAAAAAGGTTAACTCGAAAGTTATATAGTTGGAGGAAGGAAAACTTATAAGTTGGTTCCACCCTAACTAGTAAGGTGGTACTAAACATGCGCACATATGCCAAATTCTATTTGGACTAGAGTGTTACACCAAGTGATTCCCAACATAGCTAATTTTACTCTTTTTTTTTTTCCTTGTCAGTGACCAGGAGGGGGCACGACTGGTGACAGAGGAGTCCCCGCGCGACCGATTCCCCCAGCCCCACGTCTCCCGATTTTTTTTAATCTTAATCACATGCGACCTCCTAATTCCAAATGTGAGCATGTATTGCCCTGAATTCTGTTTCTAATCAAACTAGCTAGCAGCCACAAAGCAAATGATCCATTAACATGTTTCGCTAGTATTATAATTACCCTTTGTTGATGCAGCTTCTATGTGAAACAAATTAAGATTTGTCAATGATTTTCATGATCCAAGCAGATGATTATATTTCAACCGACCGCTACAGTTCCAATTTTCAAAACGAAAACATCCAAGTGATCAAATATGGATTAAGAAAAAAAAAGACAAAGAAAGCTCGAGACTAACGGCACGACGGCACGGTGCCCTATCTCGTAATGGTTGATCCAACCAATTGCAAATGGTAATAAGATTTTCTTTTCCGACAACAAACAATCAATTAGACCTAAACAAGTTGCTACAGCTAGTGATTTCTCCAATGATAAGCAGCCATTAGTTTGTTATATTTCGTTTGACGTTAAGTCCGATGGAAGACCACTGCACACACATGTGGGCTTCTTGATTAAAATTAGAATTTCATCCATTACCTTCTCATATTTGGAATTAGAAGATTGCATGTGCTTAGATGTGAAAATTTCGGCCACGTCTCTCCCTATACATATATATACTTTCATGGGTCTATATTTATATGTATGTATACATGTATATACACAAAAGTATGTACATGCAAAATTTTACACCTGTATAGAAAAAGCTTTCTTCTAATCTATAAAAACTGTGTACTAATGTATATACACTTTATACTAATCTATAGAAACTTTGTACTGGTGTATATTTGTTTGTTTTATGATAAGTACTGATTAATTCTCGCGTTTCATTATTTTCTTTCTTTTTTAGTCTAGTTTGATTGTCGAAAAAATATATTAAAAATTACTTAGTAATTTTCATAGCAATGCGCGGGGAATCACTTCCTACTCAACCTATTATCTACTCCTTCTAGCATATAATTAAATGATTAATTAATTAGTACCGTTTTACTTGCGATGCATATGATTCTTTTTTATAGGACGTTGGGTGACTCAGGACTAGCTAGTGGTCAAGAACTCAAGATTCATGTTGCTCTGTCAAGCTAGCTCCTCGAGATTAAACGACAGATAAAAAGTTTTAAGCGCTCGATCTAAATTCAATACTATTTCCTCGCAAAAAAAAATACCGAACACAATTTCATGTAAATTTATTTTTTCCCATTTCTTGGAAGATTGGCCAATAACTAGTAACATTTTTTTTTACTTTAACCAATATAAAATTCATATTATGCTTGTTCACTTGATTCTCTGAAGAAACCTTTCCAGCTGTGGCCCAGATGAATGGTAAGGATGAGCCCATGCGGCCCAAAATAACTTGATTTTCTTATGGGCCGATGGCTCTTGCATTGACGGCCCGGCCCAGTTAAGAGCCTCATCCCCACGAGGTGAACGCGAACCACCCAAACCGAGTGGAGAAATTCGCCACGCCCAAATGCTGCCGACCACCTGCCGCGCGCCGCCGTGCCCGTGGCCGCGGCCGCTCGCCGCCGGTAGAGCCAGGGGAGGCTATGGCCTCGGCCGCGCTCGCGGGGTGAAGAGGAGAGCGGCGGCGGCGCGCGGGATGGTGGTGCGGTGCGGGCTGCTCCCCGTGGACCCGTGGGCGCCCACCATGGACTCCCAGAGCGTGGCGTCGCAGCTGTTCGCCGTCTCGCTCTTCCCCTACCTCGGCTTCCTCTACTTCATGACCAGGTCCAAGACGGCGCCGGGACTCACGCTCTTCGGATTCTACTTCCTCCTCGCCTTCGTCGGCGCCACCAGTACGCGTCTTCTTCTCTCTCGCTTCGAGTGTCACTCTGTATCCTTTATTGTGCCGACGTATGCCGTTGAAATTTTCGGGACAAATACATGTCAAACTTGAGTTTGGTAATAACACCTTGATAGGACCCGTGAAAGTAACGGTGATGCAAAAGTTTGTGTTTAATCCGTTCACGTAGATGTAGCTTTTTCTGAACATGATATGTTGGGGATTTTTTCCCTGGATCACTGATTCTTAGTAGTACGTATTAAAAATTTTGTGGAATGTTTTGGAATGTCAATACTTCCTTGTCTGCAGAGATGATGCATATGTAAGCTAATAATACTTCATAGATAGACTCTCTAGTCTCAAATTGCTCATGTAATTGGCGGAAATGTGTTGAGTATGGTTGGGAAAAAAATACAAGGAAGTGGCATATGGGTATGAATATGCATGTGATGTTGTGACTGCTACCTTTTTGATAGAAGTGATGGTAACCTTGACAGTTAGGCTATAGATGGTCTGTAAATGTTAAAACATTGTAAGACAAGATATAGGTTTAGGTGTGGAAACACAATGCTCTTTGTTCTAAAAAAATAGGTGCTCTTTAGATTGATCACAGCAACATTGTAAGGCCTGACATAGATTTAGGGGCATAAATGCAATGCTATGTGGATGCATATATAATATATTACATAGTTAGTGACTTTTAATTCTATTTTCATGTTGATTAAACTATATGGATATCCAACGAACTATGGCAATTGATCTTCTGTCAGCTTAGTCATTCTGGATGACAGTTAGCCTCTATCCGAACAATCTGTCAACAAATTACTACGATGAGAAGAATAATCACGAAATGACTTTTTCATGTGGTTTAATTCAAATCAAGTTCACTGCTGATTTGGTTATCTAGCATAAAGTGGCACAATAAGGACAATGGATTAGGCAGAATACACAAAAGCGAATCAAGTGGATGGCATTCTATGTTGATCCTGCTTTGCAGACTTATTGATACTGAAATGTTTGTACTTGGTGATCATCCTTTAGCACACACCCCTATAATCCCTATTTTCTTTCAAAAATGTTTGATTTCTGTTCTTTTAGCTAGGTGCCGGGAAATTTTATCCCTATGATTAATTCCTTTCCTGTTGTTTCATGCACTGGCCTTTTATCCCTGGAGCAGTACCTGCTGGGATATATGGTAATCGAGTTGTGAATTTTTGTTGTTCTCACATACTCTGCCCCATATTTAGTCAGTAGTACTAACTGTCTTGTTGATATAACCTTTTGCAGCAAAAGTTCATTATGGAACCTCGCTGTCTAACGTCGACTGGCTGCACGGGAGTGCAGAATCACTACTTACTCTTACCAATTTATTCATCGTGTTGGGGTTAAGGGGAGCCTTGAGGAAATTGGAGGACACAAAAGAGAGCGCTTCTGAAGAATCCCAGGACATTAAAGAAAAAGGTTCTATCTAGTTACTTTGTTTTATATTTTTATCAGCACAGCTGAAGTCCCATGTAGTGATGTAGAATGTATATTTCTTCTGCTAAAAATCTTGTGTAAGGGTGCGCTGTACTGTAAGAAATTAAGAACCCTCGAAGATTTGCTCTGTGCATATGCTAAACCCTCGAAGACTTCCAATTTCCAAATATTCTCTTTGGTTCTCCAAAATATATTTTAACTACATTTTTCTACCATAACATATTCAATAAATATTTTTTTTAGTTTTTAGTATTCTACTTTATAAGACAAATCTATATGCAGTATGTTGTTCCAGTGCCTTTAACCTAAATACTGCCTCCGTTTCATATTATAAGTCATTTCACTTTTGTTTAGTTAAATATTTTAAAGTTTGACCAAGTTTCTAACAAAATATAGTAACATTTTCAATACATGATAAATTTTGTATTAAGATATATTCGATGTTAAATTTAATGAGACTAATATGGTGTTGTAGGTATTGCTAATTTTTTTCCATAAACTTGATCAAACCTATTGCACTTTGACTTTGACTGATAAAGAAGTCAAAAGACTTATAATTATCGGGATTCCGTTCTGAATCCGGGGCAGCAACAATTGCAATTCTTATCGGCATCGGTAGGGTGTATTGTGTAACAACCTAGACCTAGGCCGATACGCGCGTTTTGCATGCAGCCGCAGTCCAGCGCCGTCATTGCTGCCGCCATGGACGACGGCGGTGGCCACCGCCGCCGCCGCGTCATCGAGCCAAGAGACTGTCGGAGCCGCACGCTTGCTTCGACGACGCAGGACAAGCACCGGTCGCTGCTCCTTGACAAGGTCCGTGCCTCCCACGAGGAGGCGCTGGAGCGGCTGCGGCCGGCGGCCGTGGCGGCGGACCTCGACGCCGGCCTCTGCTTCGGCTTGCTGGATCCCGTCTCCAATGTCATCGTCAACGCCGTCCTCACCGCCGCCCCGAGAAACCGGAAGATGAGAAGGGCGCGGCGGAGGACGCGCAGACGCAGGAGATCGAGACGCCGGCGATCTCTCGACGGATCGGTGACCTTCCTGACCAGCTTCTTCCCTTACCTCCCCGAATGGGAGGCCGTGTACTACCTGCTCCTCGCCGACGCCGACGTGCTCGTCGCGGCGCGCCTCGTCGTGCAGGCCCGTGGCCTGAGAAGATTCGGGTTCACCTCGGGCACCACCGCCGCCGCCGTCAGGTTGGCCCTCAGATGCGCCGCGCTGGCCGTGAAGCATCCGCATCCCGACCGGCTCGTCCACGCGTGGATGTCCCTGTCTCGCCGCCTCGACGAGGCCGTGTCCGCGCTCGCCAACCGCGACGTGCGCGGCCTCGTCGCGCTGGTCGGCGACGAGGCGCCCGCGCCGGCGGCCGACATGGAGAGAGCGTGGGAGCTGGCAGAGTCTCGCTTGCGCGGCCGGGGCATCGCCGCGCGGCATTACTGGCACGCCATGCCTCTCCAGATGGCGCTCCTCCACGCGATCCAGGGGTTCTACCTCCGGGCGCTCGCCCGGCTGCCCTCCGGCGAGCTGCGGTCTCGCTACCACCGGAGCTTGGTGCTGGCCGGCCATTGCTACGGCCCCATGGACCCCGTCTCCAACATCATCCTCAACGTCGTCTGGTACGACGCCGCGCACCCGCCGGCGGAGGAGCTCGAGCTGGCCATGATCCCGCCCATGAGCATGTTCCGCGTCGCCACGCGTTCGTTCCTCGGCCTCGTCTCCTTCCTCTGCACCCGCTACCCCGACCTCCCGCTCCATGACGCCATTTGGTGTTTGCTTGCCGCGGACGGCGACCTTGGCGCCGCCGCAAGAGAAGCCGAGCGGCGGCAGCACCGTCCCTCCTGCACTGTCCAGGAGGCCTACGCCGCCGCCGCTGCCGCGGCCCGGCACCCCAAACCGGACGAACAAGTGGAGCTCCTCAGCTCGAGCAGGGCCATCACGACGACGACGACGACGTCGCTGCTCCTGCAGAACGGCGGCCAGCTCTCCTCGGAAGACGTTCGCCGCCTCGCCGCCGGCTTACTGTCCCCGAATCCCTCCGCCGCCGTCTCACCAACGCAGCGCAAACCAACGAAACCACGGCAGCGCGGGAAGCTGAAACTGCAGTCGCAGTTCATCCGTGATCAGAACAAAATCTGCAAGAAGGGGAAGGCTGCATTGCACAGATACTCGCTGCAAAACAACGTAAACATCTTAACCTGATTCTTTCTTGCTCGACTACTATTACCATTGCTAATGATGAACACAATTTGCATAATTAATCAATTAATCTCTGCTGTTTGCTGGGATTTCAGGAACCCGGTGGATACGAGCTCCATGTCATCTGTGGCATGAACAATCTCGTATCAGGACCCGTGTATTGCACTGACGATGACATCGTCAGTTATACACCTCTCATATACTTTCGTTGTCATGTCAACTTCTTGGCTCGCCGGAGACACTCTGATCCATCTGCCATTGCCGGCGATGGAGCTCTTCAACTCTTCTTTGCAGAATGCGGTAACTATCGCCTCAACCATGACGGCATTTGCTGCCCTGTAACCATATCGCTACCATGCTCAGGTATATAATACTCCCTCCGGACTCCGGTTGATAAGAGCAAGTTTTACTAGCTCTAATTCATCTATAGCCAATTCATATAATAATTGATTACTGTACTATTAGTATATGGTCCCACCTGTCATACACACATTGCGTCTTGGAGTCCGTGCTGTAACTGGCTACAGATATGTAGCCCACTGCTATTCTCTCTCATCTTTTATCTTATTAAAATATGTTTGTAGCTGGCTAATAGTCTGCTATTGTACCTGCTCTAATACTAATCATGTTGAATAAGGGCACGGTTTTCAAAAAAACAACTTTAACCACTATTTTGTAGTAGAAATATCAAACGAGTATATGATTTTATTAAAGTAACTTTTAAGACTAATCTATATTTATGGTCTCTATATTTGCAAAATAAATATTTTAGAAATTATTCATAGTTAAATATTTTGAAGTTCGATCTTAGCCTTGTCCAAAACGATGAATATTATAAATCCAGATAGAGTACTTGTGTTAGTCTTTTTTCACTTTGCATATATGAAGAAATTTATATTTCAAAAAAATTGAGCAAATTTTATTTGTGTTTACTTTTTCCTCTGCTAGAACAAGTGCGTTGCCTTTACTGCGAGCATCAAGGGATTAGGATTGTGCATCCATCGGTGGAGAATTTCCATGGGCGTGAGGTGGAATTTGAGAAGATGGTATGTGGAAAAGATCCCTGTGAAGACGATTTTGATCTTTTAGTTGATGAAGAACCGTTTTACACCAACGATGGTATCGTCAACAACCTCGAGTATGCAGGTGCTATGGATGGTTCGAAGAGGACTTCATTTATCGAGATAGCGATGAAGGCACCGACGAGGAAGAAGGAAACTCTGATGATGATATCGATTTTGTGTGAGGTTTACATGACTGTATATTTTGATTGATGGAGCTGTGTACATGTTCAATGTTCATGTTCAGCCCTTATACCGGCATGTTTAGGGAGAGTTTAGTTCCACTGGGCCAAAGTTTTCCGAACCGTAGGCGAACTACTCCTACCTATTTTTTGGAATTTTGTTTTATTTTCTTGATTGACTATTTGACGTAGGATATTCCAGTTCAAGAAGGGTCTAAGCAAGAGATGGCAATGGTTCCCCGTCCTCCGATTCCCTGCGGTGAATCCTCCCATTAGAAGGTGGGGGTGGTATAAAATATGTCTCCACAGAGGATTAAATAGAGTAAAAACACCTTCCATCGGGTCTGGCAGGGGCAGGTTTGTTTCAGCGTCCCTCGTCCCCGCTCTCCGTGGAGGCCCGACATAATAGTGTATGTGTAGTATTATCATGTATATTTGGCCCATCTGGCCCATAGAAACCAGGCCCAACACCTAGAGCATATAAAGCATCTGCAAAACCCTAGCCATTCCAATCCTTTCTCCCTTCTGTGTTCCATCCCTAGTCCCCACGCCGGCGCCGACTCCCGATCTCGCAAGGCCACCGTGCGTCTGCCGCGTCGGCACCCGTGCAGGGTTGCCGACTCGCCACGCCCTCGCCCGCGCAGGGCCGCCGGCTCGCCGCGCCCGCGCTGTCACGTCCCGGCGCGCCCGCACCGTCAGGTCCCGTTGCGCACGCGCAGGGCCGTTGGCTCGCCGTGCCGCCACGTCCCGGTGCCGCCCCACCAGGTCAAAGGGGAAAACGACGACCAATCGCTAGATGCGGCCATGGCTTCGTCTTCACCACTCGCGGGGATGGAGGCTCCACGGAGATAAATTACCTGCACGGAGGTGGTGATGGTGAAAGATCTTGCCCCGTTTGCATTTCACGGTGATGGTGATGGAGAAAATTCTTCTCCGTGGAGGCAGGTCTGGTGGTGTAACCTCCGACTAGGAATTCCCCGTTGCCATCTCCTCCGTGGAGGCGGGTCTGGTGGTGTAAATCTCCAGCCAGGAATTCCCGTTGCTATCTCTAGTCTGAACATATTAAGAAATAGAACAGACTCCCTCGGTCCCATAAACCACGAATCTAGAATTAGATACGAATCTAGAATTAGATATGACATATTATAGTACAGTCTGTTTAGATTCGTAGTATTAGGATGTGTCTCGCATCAGTTCTATCTTGTTTTTTTTTATGTGACAGGGAGTATGAACTGTAAGAGAATCAATCCTTTTCGTGTCAAAACCTGTAAGCCAGTGCAAAAATCAAACGCAGCAAGAGCAAATCCCAAAAACTTCAAAGATTTGACAATGCCACTTGTGCGAGGAGCCGATTCGGATAAAAGTCAGGAAGGATCGGGGTGTATAACAAACAAAACCTAAACGAGCCAACACGCACGCTCATCGCATCTTTGCGTGCGCCGTGCAGCCGCCATGGACATAGACGACGACGCCCGCCACCGCCGCGTCATCATGTCAAGGGATTGCCGGAGTCGCACGCCGTCTTCCAGGACGCAAGACAAGAACAGATCGTTGCTCCTTGACAAGGTTCGTGCCTCCCACGCGGAGGCGCTGGAACGGCTGCGGCCGGCGGCGGACCTCGACGCCGGCCTCTGCTTCGGCTTGCTGGATCCCGTCTCCAACGCCATCGTCAACGCCGCCGTCTTCGCCGAAGCGGAAGATGGGAACGACAGGACGGGGCGATCTCTCGACGGCGCGGTCACCTTCCTCACCACGTTCTTCCCTCACCTCCCGGACTGGGAGGCCGTGCGCTACCTGCTCGACGCCGACGCTGACGTCCTCGTCGCGGCGCGCCTCGTCGTGCGGGACCGTGGACTGAGGAGATTCGGGTTCGCCTCGGACACCGCCGGCGCCGCCGTAAGGTTGGCCCTCAGATGCGCCGCGCTGGCCGTGAAGCATCCGCATCCCGACCGGCTCGTCCACGCGTGGCTGTCCCTGTCTCGCCGCCTCGACGAGGCCGTGTCCGCGCTCGCCAACCACGACGTGCGCGGCCTCGTCGCGCTGGTCGTCGACGAGGCGGAGGCGCCGGCGGCGGCCAACATGGAGAGGGCGTGGGAGCTGGCAGCGTCCCGATTTCTCGGCCGGGACAACGGCATCGCCGCGCCGCCTTACCGGCACGCCATGCCTCTCCAGAGGACGCTCCTCTACGCGATCCAGGGGTTCTACCTCCGGGCGCTCGCCCGGCTGCCCTCCGGCGAGCTGCGGTCTCACTACCACCGGAGCCTGGTGAAGGCCGGCCATTGCTACGGCCCCATGGACCCCGTCTCCAACATCATCCTCAACGTCGTCTGGTACGACGCCGCGCACCCGCCGGTGGAAGAGCTCGAGCTGGCCATGATCCCGCCCAAGAGCATGTCCAGCATCGCCACGCGTTCCTTCCTCGGCCTCGTCTCCTTCCTCTGCACCCGCTACCCCAACCTCGGCCTCCATGACGCCATCCGGTGTTTGCTCGACTTCGACGGCGACCTCAACGCCGCCGCAAGAGAAGCAGATCGGCGGCAGCACCGTCCCTCCTGCACTATCCAGGAGTCCTACGCCGCCGCCGCCGCGGCGGCCCGGCACCCCAAACCGGACGAACAAGTGGAGTTCCTCAGCTCTAGCAGAGCCATGACGACGCCGCTGCTCCTGCAGAACGGCGGCCAGCTCTCCTCGGAAGACGTTCGCCGCCTCGCCGCCGCCTTACTGCCTCCAACTCCCTCCGCCGCCGTCTCGCCAATGCAGCGCAAACCAACGAAACCACGGCGGCGAAGACAGCTCAAACTGAAGGCGCAGATCATCCGTGATCAGAACAAGATCTGCAGGAAGGTGAAGGCTGCATTGGACAGATACGCGTTGCAGAACAACGTAATTCAACATCTTAACCTGATTCTTTCTTTCTTGATGAACAATTATTATTGCTATAATATGATTAAGAGATTTGCTCCGGTCCAGCAAAAAGTAACTCGAGGTACTAGTACCTTACAGTATCAAATCGTTTCGTATCGTTTGATTTAACTGGACATGATGTTCATTGTTAGATCCTCGTATCGTTTGATTTAACTGGACATGATGTTCATTGTTAGATCCAACAATTGAAAATTATTTGGTATCGTAAGTTATCAGTATCTTAAAAGTACTTTTTGTTTGACTGTAACAAATCTTTGTAATTAAACATCTCTATTGTTTTTGCTGGGATTTCAGGAACCCGGTGGTTACGAGCTCCATGTCATCTGTGGCATGAACAATTGCGTATCAGGACCCGTGTATTGCACTGACGATGACATCGTCAGTTATACTCCTCTGATATACTTTCGTTGTCATGTCAATTTCTTGGCTCGCCGGAGAGACTCCGATCCATCTGCCATTGCCGGCGAGGGAGCTCTTCAACTCTTCTTTGCAGAATGCGGTAACTATCGCCTCAACCACGACGGCATTTGCTGCCCAGTAACCATATCGCCACCATGCTCAGGTATGTACAAATCTGAATTTTCTCTTTAGCTTTTCCCCTTCTGCAGAACTGAAGAAATTCTATTTGTGTTTTTTTTTCTTTTCTCTACTAGAACAAGTGCGTTGCCTTTACTGCGAACATGAAGGGGTTGGGATTATGCATCCGTCGATAGAAAATTTCCATGGGCGTGAGGTGGATTTTGAGAAGATGGTATGTGGAGAAGATACCTGCGGAGACGAATTTGATCCAGAAATTGATGAGGAACCGTTTTACACCAACGATGGTATCGTTAATAGCCTCAAAGTGAATATTTTGTCCGGGTTAGAAGAGGAATTCATTTATCGCAATAGCGATGAAGGCACCGACGAGGAAGAAGGTGACTCTGATGATGATATCGATTTTGTGTGAGTTTTCTTTTTTTTTTACGAACTGGCAAAAGAATTTGTCAATTTCATTGAGAAGAAAAAGAATAACATGATTGTACATTTTGATTGGTGGAGTTGTGTACATTGTTGTTGTTCATGTACCAGTCTTACCAGTAGGTATGATAAAGAAAGTATATATAAATATTCAAAGATGGGAGAAAACCTCACCTAATGAACGAGATCATTGCCTAATGTTTTAATACTAATCTAATGTCATATCATATACCACAGGTCAGAACGTCGCACTCCCCGTGAGCATTTCCTAATTAATCGATCTGCTCTCTATTTACCTGGGGTGTGTTTAGTTCACGTCAAACTTTCTCCCAACTCCCAACTTTCCATCACATCACATTCTAAACTTTCCTATACACATAAACTCCTAAAATTTTTTTTCAAACTACCAATTTTCTCCAAACTTCTCCCAAATTTCAGGAACTAAACACAGCCCAGTGTTCAATTTACTGAAACTGTCATTACTTGCAGTAACATGAGCATTTTATTCGAAAACGTTTCCCATAATTTTTATTCGGATGCCCTGGCTTACCTTGATTGGCTACTGTAGTTGTATATATTCAGGCTTTGAAGTCAACATCTTCAGAAAATCACACAAGTTCAGAGTATGTTGGACATGAACAAGGAATTAAGGATGATGCAGGTTCAGGTTGTCAGAAAAAAAAAGGGTCTTTCCGGAGATGGAAAAGAACAATTAGCAACTAATAGTAGATTCATTCATAAGGAAAAAGCATAGAGGCTGTACAGAGTAGTATGGAGTAGGCCAGTAGCTAATACTGATGCGAACCTTTAACAAAGTACGGTTACTGCGTGCATTCGGCCACCTACAGATTCTGAATCTCCGATTGGAAAAACTCAAGAGTGCTCGAGAAAAGATCTTCGAAACGAGCCTCGTGGTCCATGTCAACCCCGACGCTGCCCGCCGAGAAGTCGCTGCTGAACTGGCAGTCGGAGTTCGCCGGCGAGATGAAGGAGAAGTAGCCGTCGTCGACGCCGCCGGCCGCCGTCGAGGTGAACAAGAACGGCGCCGCCATAGGCTCTGCCACTACCTGCTGATGAATTCCTTCCGTTCCCGCAGCGAGCAGCGAGCTCTGCCTCTGCTGCTCCTGGCCGGCATGCTCGGGCGGCGCGCTCTGGGCGGCGGCGGCGACGGCGGCCTGGCCGCAGGTGTGGTCGCCAAGGTAGACGACGTCGAAGAGCAGCGGGTCGCCGTCGGCGCGCTGCACCTGCTTGGTCGCGTTGCATCCCTGCGTGTGCCGGTGAGTGCACCTGAAGTAGGCCCTGCAGCAGAGATCAAGCTCGTGTCACAACAACGGCGGCGGCGGCGGCGGCGGCCATTGATTGGTTTTTAATTAGCGGAAGGTGAGAGTGACGTCATCAATGGATGATTTGCTGACGTCGATGCTGACCTCGGGTATTTGGCGCCAAGAATGTCCTTCTGGCCGTACTTCCTCCAGCTCAGGCCGTCGTCCAGCGACGCCGTGTCCTGCACCGACGTCACCCTCACCTGCCTCCTCACCTTGGCCATCCCCTTCCTGCATCGAAACACATGTCAGAGCGTTGCTCCGGCGATCTCTCAACCCTGAAATTAAACCACCATGACCGGGAACCATGACTTGCCTCTTCTTGAACGCGGCGTCCCTGCCGGCATTGCCGGCGGCGGGGGGCGGGTGCTCCGGCGGCGGGAAGCAGGACGCGGCGAGGCGGATGGACCGGTCGACGGACGACGCCAGCGCCCTGCAGAGCTCCCGCGCGGCCACCCTGTCCGGGTCCATCTTCGCCTCCAGCTCCCTCGCCATGGCCCGCAGCTGGGCCAGCTCCGTCGCCAGCATGATCTGCCCCTCCCCCTCGCCGCCGCAGAGCTCCACCATCGCCGCCGCCGCCGCCGTGGCGTCTCGTAAGCGTGTGGTTTCTTGTGTTGGTGAGAGCGTGTGAGGTAGGATGGCGAGTGTGGTAGTGACAGGGAGAGGAGTATTTATAGGGAGCAAAATGTGATTCGTTGCGTCATGTTCAGATCCAAACTTTGACCGGACCGAGGGAAAAGATTATGACTAAGCAGAGAATATCACTACCCGAGTGTCATTCAAACACTTGGACCGGTCTTTTGGTTTCTTGGCCATCATGGAGATGTGCAGAGACTAATCCAGCTCTAATCTAATCACTACTTCTGTCTGTCTGACTGACCGTTCGGAAAAAAAAAACTTGTGTCTGACTGACCATTTGTTAGAATAGAATGGTCTCAACTCTCAACCTACCACAGACGGACACACTTGTGCAGCTGCGCATTGCTCAACTGACAACTATGTGTGTTGGACGCTGTACTGATCCCTTGTCCAAATTCGTCTTAGTATTATATCTAATCTAATAATGGCCCCGTTCTAAATTAATTAAGATACATTTTTTTCTCGGTTTCCGTTAGCACGTTTTTCAAACTAAACGGTGTGTTTGAAAACTTTCTATATAAAAGTTACTATAAAAATTCTAATAAATCCATTTTTAAGATTTTAATAATTAAAATTTAATTAATCATATGCTAATGACTTATCTCGTTTTGCGCGCACACTTAATCTTCATTCTTACGGTAGATTCGAATAGGACCACTAAGGTTGTTATATTTTAGAACGAAGGAATATTATTTAGTATTGATCATAGGATTCTTGCTACTTCATGCGGGTTGATAATACTAGTTGTTGTTTTGAACAAGTGTTAAAAATGCTTCACTGGAATAGGATATTTATTGATATTTTTATATTATAATAAAAAAATGGTCAAAATTATTTTTTAAAGACTGTGTTTTTTTCAAAATGATAAGTATTATCAGCTTGGACAGTGAATTAGCTTGGCACAGTGTTCTTTCTTGCCAGCCTGATTGTTGTATTTCTTTAGGACTTTGGGATACCGCATTCGCTAAAATAGGACTTTGGGATAGTACTGTGTTGATTCGTTGAAATTCTCATGGGAAAATGGGGTGCACGTAGTGTGGAGATGTGCAGGTGGCTATGTGTCGGGAGGGAGGAGGTTGGAAGGCGGCTTGCGGTTGCTCGGCTTCTTCCTCAGTTCACTTCTCCTCCTATAGTTTAGCTAAGTGGTCCTTAATAAGGTTTTAATCACCTTTTCTGTCACTGGACCATGTTTGTAGTGTTGGTCTGGTCTTGCGTATAGTTTGTGGACAATTATTGTTAGTACAGTATTATAGCGCAGCAACGCACTCGTGTGTTTATCCGAGACACCATGAAAGTTATCTTTCAGACAGCAAGTGAACTACTGCTGCAATTCCTACGAAATTTGATTTCTGCATTCCAAATGAGGGAAAAAAAAACTTAACAAGACATATGGGCGGAAAAGTGCATGTGTGATCAAATTCTTGATATTTTGGCTGGGAGCTACTGCTGCACATGAACCTTTCAGACAAGAAAATTTTCTTCAATAGTGTGTAAGAATTGTCCTGACGTTTTCGTCTTCGTTTGTAGTAGGCACCACCGTCTACAGCGCTAATTCAGCAGGATTTGTACTAGATTTGTAAAACACTGGAGTACATTGTATTGTCACGTTCAATTATGCAGTGGCCTGGTTAGAAGTAGATCATGTTAAATTTGACTCGGCAATGCAAGCATGTACGTGCAGTGCGATCAAGCGACTGACCGAATCGAATCACCGGACGAATAGCATTTGTGCGATTCAGTGGTCTAGTCCACTCCTTGTGCAGTACCAGGCTGACTAAACCACGAGATCAGGTTAATTAATTATTGCCACTCATCCTAAAGCTACTGTTAGTATTAGTACTTAGTAGTACTAATTTTGGTGATTTATACTAACACTAATTATTAGTACTACTAGTAGAAAAGGTGTATTGGAAGCAAAGCGCTCGTGCGGACGGTCAAGCATGTCGAGTGAAAACGACCAGTGTCGGTCTCAGTCTGTGCGCCACGTCAGTAGACTGGTCAGCAGAGATGGATTCACTTGCGTCATCGGCAGCTTGTGGTCCTAGGGCAACTACAAAGGTAGGGTAAGATATGAGCTCTACGTTATCTAGAGACTATATGCTACAACAATTAGAGATAATATGGTCTTTAATCATTAATGTATCAAAATACTTTTTTCTTACTTTTTTTCTTTCTTTCACCATCATGCAATAAAATTTGCTCTAATAAATCCTAAAAGTCGACTCTGAGCTAACCATACTCATTTCTCTTTCTTCCATGTCATTAAATTTACTTGCATGGCAATAGAGAGACCACTAATAAACACCGTTCATGCCCTTACTACTAATTGAATGGTAGGCCCCATTCAATTTAGATTATTAAATGAATTACTGTAAAACGCTATTAACTTAATTGCAGATATAAATTATGAGATAAATGTGACAAATAGTTTTAAACAAGCAGTATAAGTAGTGCATCAAAAGAATATTGTTTGTGGAAAATATTTTTCAAAACGTGTAGCAAATAATCCGTTTTAAATGATTCGATAAATAAGCTAAAAGAGCATGGCTTTAATAATCTCCAAGCAGCCAATGCAAAAGCGACAGGTACCCAGGAAAGGTGATGTGTTTTCTTTTTGCCCTAGATTCTCCCAATTGAGTAGTGGAATTTTCCATTTTTTTTCTCCTCGGCAACCCAACAGTTCAGTTCATAAAAAACACATGCCTTTTTGGGATCACATTTCCTACTTTGAAGCGATCACTCTACCCTACTGGATCCTATAGTTGCAGAGCCACACGCACATACCTGGCTGAGTTTTAAACTACAACTCTAAATCATGACGTGAACTGTTAAACGATATATTTTGTGAAAAAAATTATACGTAGAGGTTTCTTAAAAGAATCAAATAAATCATGTTTTCAAAATTATACTCCCTTCTCCGTCCCATACTTGATGCTTTTGACTTTTTTAAACATGTTTGACCGTTCGTCTTATTTAAAACCTTTTGTGGAATATGTAAAACTATATGTATACATACAAGTATATTTAACACTAAATCAAATGATAGGAAAAGAATTAATAATTACTTAATTTTTTTAAATAAGACATTAAAAAAGTCAATAACGTTAAATATTTAGAGACGGAGGGAGTAGTAGTTAATACTTATTTAGGTTGTGCTTAGTTCACACTGAAGTTTGGAAGTTTGGTTGAAATTGATATGATGTGATAGAAAAGTTGTGTGTGAATGAAAGATTTGATGTGATGGAAAGTTGAAAGTTTGGAAAAAAACTTTGGAACTAAACGGGGCCTTACTTATCAGCTAATAAACAATACCGTTTCACGTGAGGCCGAAAATCCCACCCTCTGGTCTGAAAATGAGCCAATGTTTGATGCATCTTTTCACCGAAGTTTCTCTCTCTCCAGACAGAAGCTTCAGTCAAGCTTCCTCGCTTTTTACATCATAGCGGCATAGATATTGTAGGCATAGCCATTAGCCGAGCTGGTGCTGGTGCATGCTCGATCTATCGCTTTTTTGGACTGAAAAAAAGGGGCAGAAACAAAGGTTGCCGTTGATATTTCCTTCCTTTAAGTGGAGTGGAAACTGGAGTATCGCTCAAATAGCTAGCTAGGGAAGTTATTTTATTCACCTGTGCTTGTTTGACGCTTTGACCGCAAAGGCTAACAGCCCCATCCTTTGGCTGCTCAATGGAATAGAACTTTTATATAGGTGTTCTAAACAATCTAGAAATAAAAGCTAAAAAATAAACTAGGATAAAAAAACTCGATTTAAAATCAGAAAATTCACGCGAGAAAATATAAGTCCGTACGCTGTTCGCCTCTGGTGCGTCGCATGACGGCGACGCGATCCCGCGAGTGCTTGACCGGTTGACTTGTCCGCCGCCTGCAGCGGCCTGCAACGCTGCATTCCCGCTGGTTCCCACGATCGTATGTTATCCCGTCCCGCGCGACACGTCCACGACGAAAGGGCTCGCCGTCTGTATCCGGCGGCCGTGCGTCTCTGAATCTGGTGGCCGTGCGGCACGAGGAGTCCTTGGGAATTTCTAAACAAAAAAGTTTCATTTTATTCCTTAAACCTTCTAAATAATTTTTTTAGCTCGTTTTACACTCCAAACTACTACCTCTGATTTAATAGATGACGGCGTTGATTTTTTTATCACATACCATTTGTCTTATTAATAAAAATTACATAATTATAACTTATTTTGTTGTGAGCTGTTTTATCAGTCAAAGTAATTTAAGCTTGATTTATAACTTATACATTTGCATAAAGTTGTTGAATAAGACGAATGATCAAACATATACTTAAAAAATTAATGGCGTCATAAAAATAAATAGAGTGGGTATGAAAAAGGTTTTACCCTACTTTCTATTTCCTTTATTTTCTCTGGATAAGTCTATATTCCCTCTTTTCCTCTCCTCCTCCGCCCCCCACCCCCCTTCTCTGTCGCACACACAGATCATTGATGCATACGTGGTAACCAACGGTGAAATTCATCGGTACGCGGCGCCGGGACCGGCATCGTCTCCATCGAACAGTTCTGCATGGATGAGCTTTCGTCCCAACATAATGCCTCGTGTAGCCGATACGACACGTGTAGTTAGTTGCAGTATCGCCGAGTTGGATCGCTGCGGTAGCGCCAAATTCGCATGGGCCGACTTGATCCATTCCAGAAGCGAACCTTGGTGGGCCCACTCTGGTCGCGCAATATGGAGAGACGTGCACCTCGCGTCCAAAAGTAATAAGGTCACTTCAGATCCCTCAATTTGTCGGCAAGTTTACCCTTGAACCGCCAGTCCAGATATAGTGCGTCCCCGAAGTTTCAAAACCATATCAACTTACGTCCCAAGGCAGTATAGCTCCCGTTTGATCCGACGTGGTGCTTTGACTACGGTCAATTTTGTTGAGTCAGTGTGGGACCCTGCGAAGTCGACGAAGGAGCGGAAGTAGGCCATGAGCCCATGACTGAATAACAAAATTTTGTGAAATGAGACTGACAGGGTGCAGTATGATGCTTATGCACCACTGCACCAGCTTCTCAATGTTACACAAAGATGCAAATATAAACCAAACGTACAGAATAACAGAACTCAATATCTCATCATCATCATCATCAACAACAAAGTAGTAGTCAATGAACCGAGTATTCCATCCTGAACCTTCCTGTGACTGATGTGAAAAACAAAACCAAAGGAGCACATCAAGTATAGCTGACAACTCAAACTTCTGAATATACAAGGACTGGGAATGCAGATGTTTAAGCGTCGAATACTTCTGAAACTTGGCAATTCAGACAGATAAGGTAACAGAGAACATGTTGCATAGTCGTAAAAATGGACATCATTCCTCAAATTCAGCTTCGGTCATCAAACTGACCATTTTAAAATGCCAATCTAGCAGACAGCAAGCGATATGCCTTGTGTTCCCTAGTTTTTACCAAGCAATCCTTGTTCTGAGAGGGCATTCCATTACTCCAGTGGCTTGAATTTCTTCCCTCCATAGGAGTTCATTTGAAAAGATGGGACATACTCTTTACAAGCACCGATTCATGGAGAGCTAATGATGATGTCCCCTTTAGCACTAACTACAATTGCTAGGAGGTAATAAATTTCCAAACCAGAAGGATGATTCAGAAACATTTGGAAGTTATGAATTGTTTTGCAAAAAAAAAAAAAAAAGAAAGAGAACAAGTTATAACGTGTTGCGTGATCACTCAAACTAACACTATATTTTACTTTGTAGGAACATCACCTCATTCTGTTTCTTAAGAGAAGTCCATTGCTAACATAGCTCAAATTAAGCTTGTATTTATACTTAAGTTGTTACAGTTTGCACCTATTTATATCACCAAGTATGCTTGATCACAAACCCCCACAACTTCAAATTCGTTCACTATATTAGTGATGATTCATGTGAACTGTTCAAATTCTGATATGCTATTCATGTGCTCGGTAACAAAATTCAAGCAGCACCTCAAAGGACTGAGGGTTTTGCGACTTTCTAGATATGATGAAATAACTAACAACAAAGATTACACACTCTACCAAACAATCTAAAATAGATCATTTTACCATCGTTCCCTTGGTCTGCCATCAGGAAAAACAGGAACATGTGCCTTGCCATTGGCAGAATTAGCAGTTTTCTTCATAGTCACCTTGACTTCTTTAAGACTTGAGCCATCATCGTCTTCGAAGTCTGGTGGCGAGTCATCATTCTCGCCAACCCAGCCATCTCCCCAGTGGTAGTCTGTGTCAGATTTGCCACCAGAAATCTCACTAATTAAGTCTTCCATATCCGACAATCCCTCGTCTTCATCATCTTCTACATCGCTTCCTTCACTCAGCATTTGCGCAGCTCCATTGGTTCTATCAGCCTCCTCACTAGTTGCCGGCACACCCCTTCTAGGGAAGCGTGGGACTGCAACAAGAGCCCTCATCTTCTCCTTAAGCAGCACGAGTTTGCTCTTCTCGACCAACTGGGAGTTCTTGTATGCCTCACGGAGGAAGACCGAGTCCCTGTCCCCCTTAAGCGACACGTAAAACATGTCTGGGTGGCGAATTAGCATACCACGCAGAGATTGCGAGAACCGGAATTCCTCCCGGAAGTGTGTCAGATGATCCACCAGCGTGCGCTTCTCAAGTGTCAGGCTCAAAATCTCATGAACTACGCCGCAAGCATGCTTCTCCTTCTCAGCCGACCCGGATCGCAGATGCGAGAAGTCAGAGTACGGCGAAATGTATGGCATTTCCTTGAATTGCGCAACCCTGCGCGCCTCCCCTCTTGATAATTTCAGCCCCTGTGGTAGCTTCACCCGATTAAACTTGAGTGGCCGGTCAATGATCAGATTCCTCTCTTGTTCTTCCCTCGCTCGATTCTCCTCCTCGGCAACCTCCGCTGCCGACACCGCCAATTCAGGGTCCCAATGAGTGAGCTCCAGCCCTGGCCCTCGGTCCATCTGGACGACGCGGAAGTACTGTGGGTACCTGAGGCAGATAGTGTCGCGGAACTCCGGCGGGAGTCCAAGATCGTTCTTGAGGTGCGCAATCTTCTCAATGAGGATGCGCTTGTCCTGCGACATCATGAGGAGCTTGCGGAGCTTGGTGACGGCTAGGCCCTCGGACTCATTCTTGAGGTGGAGCTCGTCGAGGTAGAGGCGCTCGGCGGCCGGGGTAAGGCGGAACCTGAGCGAGTAGACGCCCTCCTCGACGACCTCGAAGACACCCGGGAACCGCTTGAGGAGCGCGATGAGGCGGCGCTTGCGGGTGAGGCCGAGGTCGCGGCGGAAGCGGCCGAGGTCGCGGAGGCTCATGACGCGGTCCGGGTTGGAGACGAGGATGTTGCGGAGCTTGAGCACCAGCTTGAGCTTCTTGTCGCGCTGGATGACGTTGTCGAACGGGATCTCCTTGCGCCGCTTCACGGCGGCCTGCGCCACCACCGCCAGCCGCCGCGGGGCGCCGGGCCGCAGCAGCCGCAGCGGCGGCGGCGGGTGGAGGAGCGGGAGGGAGGCGCCGAGGAAGAGGGATTTGGGGGGCGGCGGGTGGTGGTGGAGAGTGGCCGGCGGCGAGGGGAAGGGGAGGAGGAGCAGCTTGGCGTCCATCTCCGCGAGCTTTGGGGATTGCGAGCTCAGCCTCCCCGCATCGGAAGAAGAAGAGGAGGCGTTCGTGGTGGGGATAAACCTCCGGCTCCCAAGGTTGCGATATTTCCATTGGGTTTTTTGGGGCTTTGTGGCTTGTTAGTGTGTGCGGCTCGGCCTGCTTGCTGATTTAAGCCCAATAATTATAGCTTCCTACTTCTGGATTGGAATAAGTCTATTTGTCATCCCTCCTGTCCTACTTCTGATTAAAACACCTGCATGTTATCAGAAACCGCTCCCCCAAACCATCCAATGAAAATGGGGGAGACATTATATCCAGTTTTGAGGTTGTGGGTAATGATTGCGCAAGAAAATAAGGGAGGCAAAATAGACGTATCCTTTTGGATTCTGATTTTGAATGAGAGAAGAAATTGACAAGCAATATCACGAGCCGAGCCCATTTGCCCCTCTGTTTCCTGTGACTAGCAAGTTCTGTTACTGTTACTACTGCGTCTGAAAGTCTCAATGAACTTTTGCTCTGAGATAAAGCCTATATAAAATTACCAATTCATGTCAGAGTAGCAAAAAATAAAAACTGTCTTGGCTCTTGAATCTTGCACGGATTTATATCACCAATTCAAAAACAAATAAACAAAAGAGAAATGGAGAAGATGAATGTAGAGCACAACCATCTCTGCCGAGTGCCGACTTCTCGAGCAAGTGTTGATTATGCAGAATATAAAGTTGATAGTGATAAGACAACACTGTGGAGTAGTAGTTAAGATTAATTATTTGTAATTGATAATGTCTTAAGTTCATTTGTTCTTTTTTTCTCAATGCAGGACGACCACTTTTCTGTTTATAGAAACCAATTGGCTACAAACGTTCAACCGAAAAAGGACAGACAGATCTAATCACAAACAGCTGCTTCATCACTCATCAGTGACTGTTAGAACAGATAAACCGGCATTAAGTTGCTGTATTATAATCAGGGGAAGGACATGCGACATGACGATCACTGTGCTGACAACTAGCTCTCGTACGGCCGCGGTGACCTTGGGAAAAATTCCTTGTGTCCGTGGACGGAACAGAAACATGGATTGCCGCCTCGCCGCGATCGCCGATCACGCGGCGGATTGGATGAGCTCACGATCACGAGACGCCGAGGCGGCGATCGAGAAAACGCAATGTCAATGCACGGCGCCTCGTGCTGGTTGTACGTCCAACGGAAGAAAAGTACTACCTACGTTTTGTTTTTTAACAGATAACATCGTTGATTGATATCACGCACGTTCGACGATTTGTCTTACTTTTCAAAACTTTACATAATTACTACTACATCCGTTCTAAAATACAGTGAATTAGAATAGGACGATGTTAGAACTTTGGTCATAATTTGGTATATTTTAATCCAAAATAACAAGATAATAAACATGATATTTACAATGGGATTTGATCCAGTGACAGTGGTGAATGTAATCAACATGAGCATGCTTAATGTAGAATAAGCATCAACAATCACATAATAACACAATGTTGACATTGCGATGAACATTAACAGTAAAACTTCTAATTGAAATAATGTAAGAAGGTTATACCCCAAGCATGGTCCTCCGCTGGAGTTTGAGGCAGTATTGCCTCCGTTGGTGTTGACGGGAGCCTCCTTCTCCTTGTATCCAGTGTTGCCGTTGTCTCCAGTGTTCGACATATTGGTGAAAGTGAAGTAGATGTTGACGAACAGTGAGTAGTCGCGTGTTGCGCTCCCCAAAAACCTGATCGCCCGCCCGTCCGTGCAAACGTCGCAGCAGCGCGTGGTTTCGGAGGCCTACTCTCCCAACACGTGTGCACACACTCGTCGGGATGGGATTACCGTAGCAGCAACAACGTTGGAAAATGGATGAAAGTGTGTCTCACTATTCTCGCGGGAGATCAAATCCATTCTCATTTTATAAGAGGAATGGAAGATGACGAGTAAGAGTCATGGAATAGGAAGAGGAATAGAGCAACTAATTATCATCAACTAGCCATAAACCATCCTCCACTACACAACCATCAACCAACAATCAATTAAGAGTAATTGATGTAAGTTACCAATGGAATAGGAAGAGGAATAGAGCAACTAATTGTCATCAACTAGCCATGAACCATCCTCCACTACACAACCATCAACCATCCATCAATTAGAACTAATTGATATAAGTTACCAATTCCCTAATCAAATGGATTAATTCTCAAAACTCTTCATCCCATTGATATCCCATAAAAAAATGAATACACATGAATTCCTAGCATAATGAGCCTTGGAATTTATTTGATTTAATTGATTTAAATGGATCAATTATCCAATTAAATCTATCAATCCCCACCAAATTTCAAGGCTCATGAGAATGCTCTCTATTCCATAGCAGCTTTTATATACCAGTATTTCGGTGAAGACTGTTAAGTTGAACTTTCACCTAGAAAAGGAGCTACACCTGACCACAACTGAACAATGGACTATGCCTTGAATTGTCAGTCTTGTGCAGTTAGGTTTCACTCAATTCCATAACTGATACTAGGCAACCGTTAGTATTCCCTCGGGTTGGAGCTTATAAGTCATACTCCAGGCCTTTCATGAGTATCTAGAGATCACCCAAATCTCATAGATTGTGACTAGCAGTCGAACTCATATAGGTGTGTTCCTTCTAAGATGTTCTGCAGGTCAACATCTCTGCTTAATGAAAGCCACTCGGAACACATTGAGGCATAAGCCATCCTACCATACAGAATAGAAGAGAAGTACATCATGAAAATGAGCCCATTTAAGGGTCTCTTCTCTCGGTTACACAATAGTTTGTTTCGCCATCCAAATTCACGGGATCTCCGATCACAACGGACAGGTTTCCACTATTGTGCAACTCTAAGTGGGTCTCAAGCCCATTTCCCTCGATGCACTGTCTATCACATTACGTGGTAGCCCCTTGGTAAACTGATCTGCCAGATTTTTAGCTGTCTGGACATAGTCCAGTGCTATCACTCCAGAGTTTTTCTGCTTTCTGACAGATTTCAGTCTTCTCTTTACATGCCTAGATGACTTCATGTTGTCCTTCGAACTGTTCACCTTAATAATCACTGTTTGATTATCACAGTTCATTAGGATAGCTGGCACTGGTTTTTCAATCACCGGCAAATCCATCAGGAGTTCACGAAGCCACTCGGCCTCAACTGTGGCAGTATCTAGTGCTGTGAGTTCTGCTTCCATTGTTGACCTCGTTAAGATGGTCTGCTTGCAAGACTTCCAGGAAACAGCGCCACCTCCAAGTGTGAACACATATCCACTTGTGGCCTTTATCTCATCAGCATCAGATATCCAGTTTGAGTCACTATACCCTTCCAGTACTTTTGGGTAACCAGTATAGTGAATTCCATAGCTCATTGTACCCTTTAGATAGCGCATGACCCTTTCCAGAGCTTGCCAATGATCATCTCCCGGATTTGAAACAAACCGGCTCAGCTTGCTCATAGCAAATGAGATGTCAGGCCTTGTTGCACTAGCCAAGTACATCAATGAACCAATGATTTTGGAGTATCTCAACTGATCCCTTGTTATTCTTCGGTTTTTCCTTAATAGCACACTGGAGTCATAAGGAGTTGGAGCTGGCTTGCAGTCACTATAACCAAAGCGACTCAAAACCTTGTCCACATAGTAAGATTGCACGAGTGTAATCCCACCCTCATCTCCTCTCAGTAGCTTAATGTTAAGAATAACATCAGTCACTCCCAAAACCTTCATTTCAAAGCTTTTGGACAAAAAGTCCTTAACCTCCTCAATCACATTGAGGCTGGTTCCAAAAATCAATATGTCATCGACATATAAACACAAGATCACTCCCTCTCCCCCACCATAGCGATAGTACACACATTTGTCAGCTTCGTTCACAACAAAGCCAGCAGATGTAAGTGTCGTGTCAAACTTCTCATGCCATTGCTTAGGTGCTTGCTTAAGGCCATATAAGGATTTCAACAGTTTACACACCATTCCCTCTTGACCTTCTAGTACATATCCGTCTGGTTGATTCATATAGATCTCCTCTTCTAGCTCTCCATTTAGGAAAGCTGTCTTAACATCCATCTGATGGACGAGAAGACCATGAGAGGCTGCCAAAGCAAGTAGTACTCGAATCGTGGTCAAGCGGGCAACTGGTGAGTAGGTGTCGAAAAAATCCTCGCCTTCTTTTTGGGTATAACCCTTGGCCACAAGCCTTGCCTTATACTTTTCAATTGTACCATCAGGCCTAAGCTTTTTCTTGAAAATCCATTTGCATCCTACAGACTTGCACCCATATGGACGCTCAACGACTTCCCAAGTACCATTAGATATAATTGAGTCCATCTCACTGCATACCGCTTCCTTCCAATAGTCAGCGTCAGGAGATGAATATGCATCTTCTATGGTTCTTGGAGTGCCATCCACGAGGTATACAATGTAGTCATCTCCAAAAGACTTTGCAATCCTTTGTCTCTTACTCTTTCGAGTTGCTACAATGTTATCCTCCTCAGGATTTTCATCAGGCGTTTGATCATTGTGTTTTATCGGTGCAAAGTGCTCATGGGGTAAAACAGGTTCTTGACTAGACGTGCTAGGTGTATTTTTCATGGGAAATTCATTCTCAAAAAATGTGGCATCTCTGGACTCAGTAATTGTACCAACACACATGTCGGGTACTCCAGAGTTTACTATTAAGAACCTATAGCCCACACTGTGGATAGCATAACCAAGGAACACACAGTCTACGGTCTTTGGTCCAAGTTTACGCCTTTTGGCTATAGGTACATTTACCTTGGCCAAGCAGCCCCATGTGCGTAGGTATGAGAGATTTAATTTCTTCCTTTCCCATTCTTCGAATGGTGTTACTTCCTTATGTTTCACTGGAATTTTATTCAGGACATGACAAGCAGTAAAAATTGCCTCACCCCACTATTCCTTGGAAAGTCCCGCAGTGTCTAACATGGCATTCACCATCTCAGTTAGAGTGCGGTTCTTTCTTTCGGCTACCCCATTTGATTGGGGTGAATAGGGAGGCGTTCTCTCATGAATAATTCCAAACTCTTCGCAAAAGGACGTAAACTCATTGGAAAAATACTC